TATTAACTCCTCTGTAAAGTTTCTGATATTATTTGGTTGAGAAAGAACTTTTGTAGTTATATCATGTTCTCATTAATACTCCCATGCAGGGGAGACATTTCATTTCTATTTTTTGATGAAGTTTTGAGCTAAAGTCTGCACGTACTCTCTGAATTTACCTCAGTGGGAAGTAAAAATATAAATATGAGATTTTTAATGGGTCTATGGCTTTTATTTATTGTTTTATAAAATAGTTAAAAATCCCTTACCCTTCCTTACACATTCCTAGTAATTATAGCAGAAACATGTAAATATAAACATAGCTCTTCAACTGAGTCATAATTTAAATATATGGTGTTTTATAAATTTGGTTCTTGTAAACTCCAGGCAATACTTCATTGACACGGATTGTTAGTTTCACCATTTATATCATATGAACATAATATGATATGATGTCCTTGTTTCTCTATCAAAGTGTTGTATATGAACTGTGGTTTCATTATCCTTTTAAGTTAGTGCAAATATATTTTCTAAAACTCATTGTTGTTCTGTGATCTTCAGAACAATTCGACATTATGGCAAAGATTAGAGATATTTATCTTATGTATTCTTATTGATACAAACTATTTTGATCTTCAAATTAATTAAAATTAATTAATCCAAGCTAGAGAAGTTACAGCCATCAACAGATTATGTAACTCACAGAGAAACAAGGAAAGACCATTTTAGTAATAATTATTCTTGCCGAGTGTTTTTCAGAATCTTTCAGTGTCACTCAACAGTATTATAAAAGCAGTTTCATTTTAGTGTGTCCAGGTGAAGAAAGAGGCCCATACCTCCATTGAGAGGCCCTTTGTAGCTACTTAGATAGATCTCTGAACGTGTAAACTGTGGTCCAGCTAAATGTCGGGTTGACTCTGTGTACTTCAGAAGGGTGGCATCATGCCCTCATGGACAGACAGGTGCAGTCGCTGTGTGCAGAAGGACTTCCATAATACTCTCATCTCTTGAAGGTAGCTGGCCCCCAACAATGCTTTCCTGCCTTTCCCAGGAGGTATTAGTGGTTAAACTTCTCCACTCCTGGAGAAGAGGAATCCTGGTGGCAGAGAGTCTTGAGCAAAATTATTTCAAAGTTCTAAAGAAATATATCCGGGCTTCTTCACAATCACAAGCCCTCCAGCGGACACGGGCGGACATGCCATTGGATACACCTGGCCGTGAATTTCACATAATTTCCTCACTCGATTTTGATCTGAACTTCACAGGGAGGTGCCTCCCCAAGAGCTAATTCTAATTATGGCGTCTGGCCCAGGATGGTCTATTTCAGATATCTGCCTCCCACTGTCAGAAAGTGTGTGCTTTATCTATTTAACAACATCTTGTTCTTAATTTGCATTCTTCTCTTAGGCACAGGGAGAAATATCCCACATCTTAGTGATGGCAGTTCAAGGAAGTTCCCAGTAGCCTCTTAAAATTAGCTGGACAGCTGGGCACAGCAACGCAGTGGCGCACCCCTGCAATCCCAGAGGCTCAGGAGGCTGAGGCAGGAGGATCTCAAGTTCAAAGCCAGCCTCAGCAACAGCGAGGCACTCAGCAACTCAGTAAGACCCTGTCTCTAAATAAAGCTGGGGATGTGGCTCAGTGGTCGAGTGCCCCGGAGTTCAATCCCTGGTACAGAAAAAAAAAAAAGTTACGTGGACAGCTGCAGACTCGCCATCCCCTTGACTCCCTTGCCACTAAAATGCCAAAGTTTTCTAACAACTTCTACACCGGCTACAACTGAACCAACTCCTGAAGCTCCCAGTGGGAGAGCATTCAGTGTCCCTGTTGACCTTGCTTTAGACTTCTCTTGTCTGTTCCTAAAAATTTACATTGCAATTTCCCATCCTTCTCCTGTAACTATATAGTCACTTTCTGCTAACAATTTTCTCATCAGGAAATAAACCCATACTTGAGACATATCCCCCAACACAGCCTGGTGAATCCATTAGCAACCCACAAGATCCTACCATATAATTCAGCCAAAGGAGTTTGGCCAAACACTTGGAAGAGTGAAGCATCTCAGTGGTGTGTGCCACGGCCCAGTTCTGGAGGACCCCCTCCTTGCCTCTCCCGATGCCCTGGCTATTCCCTCCTCTCCACTTTGTCTGATTGATCACCTTGACCTTTGCCATTGCCTTTGGGCTTTGAGAACATTTCTCTGACAGCTGCTTCTTGACCTTCTGAACCACTGAGACGTTTTCCCAAGAGATATGTCTCTGAAAACAGGCTGAGATCTGCACAGGGAGGATCATCCAGCATCCACAGTGCACACAGGAAGCAGGATTGGGCAGAGGGAGAAGTGAAATTGGAGTCCAATTGCAGCAGAAGCCTCAGCTAGTTTGGGGTTCTCCCCAGTGGAAGCAAGGAGGCAGACTTCACACCCCTTCTTTGAGCAGACACTGGGTACAGGGTTACTCCTGGGGCAAGGCTGACACATGAATCTGGCAGTCTTTTTCTTTTATTTTTAAATTCTTCTGATAATAATTTCTTCCTTCCTTCCTTCCTTTCTTTCTTGACTGGGGATTGAAACCCAGAGGTGCTTTACCACTGAGCCACATTCCCAGCCCAATTTTTGTTTTTTAATTTTGAGACAGGGTCTTGCTAAGTTACTTAGGGCCTCACTAAGTTGGCGAGGCTGCCTTGAACTTGTGATCCTCCTGCCTCAGCCTCCCGAGTTGCTGGGATTACTGGCACACACCACTGCACCTGGCTGATAATAGCATCTTTATCTGCTATTTTTTAAAAAAATTTTCTTTCTTTCTTTCTCTCCTCCCATAAGCAGCCTCTTTTAGTACGATTCCCTCTGGGAATTGCCAGCAGTTCCAGCAGCTGGGGGAAGGCTTCCAGGAAGTGCACCCCCATGTGCAGCGTGAGATAGAGAGTCTGAGGCTTTTCTGGAAGCACCCAATGCTGAGCACTCTGATCCAGTGGACATCGGGGAAAACTGTGGGTAGCAAGAGTGGCCAAAACTTGTGCTGTCTGGGAGGCTGGAAGAAGACTAATGGCAGAAATTGATTCTCAGGGTGAGACTCAGCTGCCCTCTTTCTGAACACATGCAATGCTGATGAAATTACCTGCCCTATATTTTATTTGTTAAAATCTCTCTCTTTTTTTCTACTGTGTTATAAATTTTAAACTTGTGTCTCCCTCCCACTCTTAGTAATCATTGGTATCCCAGTATTGTTCCTTGAGATACACATCCTACTCACTGTGAGTGAAACAAATCTCAACAGCAGTAAAACATTCCCTCCTCCTATGCAGTCTGTTAGAAAAGCAGATACTATTCAGGGTGATAAAACTATTCTCATGAAGATGCCGTCGAGGTGTCCTGTGAAATCAACCTTCCCTTCCACGATGAGTAGTGATTGCGATTGGTTGTCGTATCTATTACACCAGTCTCTTCTATCTCGTCTCAAAGATCAGAAAGTCAGAAAGGGATCATGGATCCTTTCCACTCCTCCCAAGAACTAATCAAGTGAAATGACCCCAGCAGTTTGTTATCTAATCCAAATGTTGGACTCCTTTGAATTAATGATGGCCATGAAGAAAATATGGACACAACCGTATCATTTTACACCCCATCTTTGTGAAGAAAACAGACTCTGCTCGAGATTTCAGATAGATCTGTTCCCTCCCATGTTCTCAGGAGCTGCATGACCTTGGGAGAGTCAGCACTATTCCTTCCCGAACCTCCCCTTCTACCGCTCTATCTGTAACTGCTGTACATGCCGTTATTTAGCATAGAGGTGGACACAGGTCATTTCCCACGTTGCTTTCCTGCCTTTCTTCTGCCCCCAGTTCTTGTTCCCACCTGTTGGCTTCTCTGTCTCAACAGTGCCTGGCGCAGCTGAAGGTGTGGGAGGTTCTTCCTGACTCCTTCCCCACAGGAGAACAGGGGCAGTGGATTATTTTTAATGTTTTTCTTTGTTCTTTAAACATTTATTTTTCAGTTGTAGGTGGACACAATACCTTTATTTTATTTTTATTTGGTGCTGGGGCTTGAGCATGATTACCCCAGCCCTTTACTGTTTTTCTTTAACAATAATCTATATATTTCAAAAAGAAGAAAGGATTTTGAATGTTTTCACCAGAAGGAAATGTTGAAGTTTGAGAAGTCAGATATGTTCACCCTGATTTAAACATGGTATATACATTATGGGAACTTCACATGGTACCCATCAATATGGACAATTTGTATGTTTTTATGTATCAGTTAAAAAGTAAATCACCCCCAAACTGTCCATTATTCCATTTGTGTTTCACACAAAAAAGACAAATGGATTTTTTGAATAATAATGATGAAATCTATTTTTTCAGCTTTACTAAGGTGTAATTAGCAAAATATATATTTAAGTTGCATGAATTGATGTTTTGAAACACACACACACACACACACACACACATATATATATATAGTGGAATGATTACCATAATCAAGGTAATTAACATACCCATCAGCTTACACCATTTTCTTTACTTTATTTAATACCAGACAAAATAGACTTTCAGAGAAAAAGCATCATTGCCTCTAGACCTGGTGTGCCTCTCTGTCGCGACCCCTTGTCCGCAAGGAAGACGCAACTCAGGAATCTTCTTTCAGCAGTTTATTCAGGCCCTTGATATTTTTTTTTTCTCCTTCTCGGATGCCCCTCCCAGCCTTAATAAAGCATCTCAAGCCCCAATGCAAAGCTGCCACGTGGAGCTTTCTCATAGGGTGGTGAAAAACCATGCGCCAACTCTCCCAAATAAGGAGTTGTTTGTCACAGACCACAGCTGAGCCAGCGCCATCTTGTAATGGCGACCATAGTCTGCAGAAACGGCAGAAGCGGCTCACCACAGTTCCCCCTTTCTGTTTTCTTAAAACAATACAGGCGAGAGTAGAGGTCCTATCCCACTGTGCAGAAGTGGCTGCATAGTATGGCTCAGTCCTAAGGAGGGCCCTTCCCTAGACCTGAGGCCATATCAGCCGACGCCTTTTTTTGTGGGGCGGGGCGTGGACGCGTCTAACCCGCATGCAATAGGACATGCTCTCCTTGAGGTCCACGTCAAGGATCACTCAAGTGTAGTGCCTTGCCTCGCATCCTGTATCGTGACGATGGTGGACGAAGGGGGATAGCTGAGGCTGAACTGTGGCTGTTTATAACGACAAACAAGTTGACAGCACCCTGAAAGAAAGGCACGGACTTTAAGGCGATAGAAAAGCACTAGTGTGGAAACCCATCTGCGTGCAATGGCAGTAAGACCGCAGAGTGCAAGGGCTTTCCAACACTAAGATAATAACAAGGAAAGTCATGTCGATCCCAGTGCAATGTTATAATAACTTGGGGTGTAACGACCATGTCAAAGGTTTACTGTTTAAGATGCGCAAGCCAGACTTGAGGCGAGTTGCCATTTTCTAAAGCTGCAAGAGCTTGTATGATCATAGCCTTATCGTGAGCACTGCGGGCCTTAAGGCAACAGAGAAACCACAAACAGAGAAACATACCGAAGCAACACATTGCACCAAAAATGCCTACCCCCACCCACTCTTTGAAGAAGGAAAAAGCAGAAGATATCCAATCGGTGAACTGACCCAAAGTCACGGGATCGACACGGGTACTGTTCAAAACAGCAATCTGAGTTAGTTGAGACTGGATCAAGTTTTCTGCTTCCATGGACCAGGTTCCGGATAGATACTCCCCGATGATGCGGGAGGCATTTCTGGAATCATAAAATCTGACAGAGGTTATACATAAATGTGCACGTTGATCAATACAACCCAAATGTACTAGATCAGACAATTCCTCAACTTGAGCTTGAAGTAGATCTATCCTTTGATTAGCAGCCAGAATCCCAGATAAAATGTGTTGATTAATTTTACTTTGAGATTTAAGTATGGTGGATGTTTGTTGAATAACCTGATTAATAGTGGCAGCAGTTTGAACCTGGCTGGCCATGGCTACTCCAGCTGTAACTGCTGCAGCAGCAGATACCGCCATAGCTGTCACTATAGCTGCCGTAATTCCAAAATCTCTATGGGCTCTAATCAGTTCAACAATAGGAAATGACTCTGGATCTGCAGTAACCGGGATCGGGACAAAAGTTGGAATTTTCATAACCACTGCCATAGGCCAGGATCCATTCCAACACTCAGACAAATAACAGGTAATATTAGAGCAATTAAGCATCCCCTGTAATGTATCATTAGCCAAAAGAAACAGGAACGGAGATTGGAGACAGACTGTTGCAGAGGGTAATGTAGCATTAGATAATTGTGAATTATTTGTAGAAATTTTAAGCCTCCTACCTCGCTCTGAGTCTTGGGTACTGCCAGAAACATTAAACAGCCAACTTTGGACTCCTAATATTTCCCTGGGGAAACACAAGCGCGGACTAGACTAGCCCAATCTGAGGGAGTCATGCAAAATCTAGTAAGTCCCTCCACCTGAGTGAGAGTGAAAGCGGCATCTATGCCATAAGTGCGGACAGATTCTGCCAAGGTTTTAATTATCTTAAAGTCTAAAGGCTCATGATATCTTTCCCTGTTATTGTCCTGAAATACAGGGTATGCAAGTCCCATATCTGTATTAACTGTCCTCCAAACTTGTGCATGAAAAGATCTCCCGGAACCTTGGCTCCCCCCCACATACGGAGGTGGGGCAATCGGCACCATATCTTCTTCTAGATATTCTACCTCCTCCTCCTCAGAGTTTTGTTGACCGATGTTAACTCCCTTCCCCTTCTTACAGTAGGCCTGCGTGCCCTGTGTCTCCTTTTTCTTCTTTTTCATTTTTATCTTATGTAGTTGTTGTAACAATATATCAAGGTCCTCAGAACTCTCTGAGTCGCTTGTGTTCTCAGGCGTTTTTAATTCGGTCAAGTCTGGGTAGAGCCTTCTCCTATTTTTATCTTCAGGCTCTTTTGCCTTCTCACTACTGTTACTTTTAATACTCTCTGCCACTTCACTACATGATCCTTCAGATTTTTCCTCATGCAGTTGCTCAAGAATAGCTTGACCCTCACTCACAGCTTCCTGGCATTTACCATCTGTTATACATCCTCTAACTAACTTCCAAAGTGGTATAATGCCACCCTGCAAGGTACCTTGCTCATGAGCGAAATTTAGATCTTTCCCTAATTTGTCCCAGCTGGGAACCATAAGACTCCCTGAAAAAGCAAACCAAGGAGCCGCTATATCAGCTTCTCTTAAAAACATCTGCAAAGTACTCTGCTTTATCTTAAGTCCTTTTGAATGTAACAACACATCTAGGGCCAACAAAATAGGGCTTGAAGAAGCAACGCCCATAATGTTTTTAGAGCTATAAAGAAAGTGAAAGTACAAAAGTCCCCGCTCTCTTCCTTTTACAGGGGAGCATCCCTGTCGTCACAACAACAAAAGAAACACAGAAAACAAAAGCGAAAGTACACAGTGCAGCTGCAATAAAATGTAATGCTCTCTCTTTCTTTACAGAGGAGCTGCCCCGCTTTGGTCGCGGATCCCACTTACCTGGGACTAACCCCGCTTTGATCGCGGATCCCACTTACCTGGGACTAACCGGTGCACCACCCCTGACTGCTGAAAGTTCTGGTTCCCGGGTTTCGGCACCACTTGTCGCGACCCCTTGCCCGCAAGGAAGACGCAACTCAGGAATCTTCTTTCAGCAGTTTATTCAGGCCCTTGATATTTCTTCTTCTCCTTCTCGGATGCCCCTCCCAGCCTTAATAAAGCATCTCAAGCTCCAATGCGAAGCTGCCACGTGGAGCTTTCTCATAGGGTGGTGAAAAACCATGCGCCAACTCTCCCAAATAAGGAGTTGTTTGTCACAGACCACAGCTGAGCCAGCGCCATCTTGTAATGGCGACCATAGTCTGCAGAAACGGCAGAAGTGGCTCACCACACCTCTAGACCTGCCTGCTTGTAATCCCAGCTCTTTGGGAGCCTGAGGCAGGAGGAGCACAAGTTCCTGGCCAACTTAGTAAGACCCTGGCTCAAGATGAAAAATAAACCGTTCTGGGGTTATAGCTCAGGGATAAAACACCTCTGGATTCAGTTCCCCCCACAAATGGATCAATTCATTGTGATAAAATGTTTAACTAATTACAAAAATATGTTTCTAAGTATATTTTTATACCTAACAACAGAGCATAGAATATATATATATATATATATATATATATATATATATATATATATATATAGAGAGAGAGAGAGAGAGAGAGAGAGAGAGAGAGTGTGTCAGAAATAAACAAAGGAATAGATGGACCTACAATTCAAGTGGGAGATTCTAAAACGCCATTTTGATAGATGATATCAGTAAACACTAATGAATAAGATTAAGCTAACATACATTATAGAACACTGCGAAGATGATATTATACCATAAAATCGAACAATGTAACTCTCTACCTGAACAGATGAAAAGACTCCTATGGTGGCCTCAAATGATACAGACAAACCTAGAAATTTCAAAAACCAGTTATAGCAAATAGCTAATTGAGAAAAGGCAAGAGCTCACCACACATGCTGCAAATTAAATGCCAAAAGTTTGTGGTGACGGTTATAGATATTAAAGGAACTGGGTGCTCCCTTTCAACAAGGAGTCCCACTAATATCGCAGCAGAGGGCCTGGCCCGTGCCATTAGCAAGCAGAGCTGATTCTCCAGTGAAGGGGAGATGGACACGCTAGCTCAAGGGTTTATGGAAACAAGTGGGTGAAGAAGAGCCAAGACCATTTGGAAGAACAAAATTATAGACGTTACATTTGTCAATACTGAGATTTATTAGCAAACCCTATTGATTAGGAAGATGTGCTTCTGATACAAAGATCAATAAATCAGAAAAAAAGGGAGTCTGGAAACAGAACTAGCTCTTCATGCTTACAGGAGTCAAGGAGCACAGTGGGGGACCAGGGGCACAACAGGGGTTTCTCAATAACGGTCCTTCATCAGGTGAGTCGCAGCACCTGTGCACCTGTCTCCTGAATGACAGGCACCCTCTAGCCTATCTGCTCCATGTGGGTATGGGAGAACACTTCCATCCTTCAGTCAAGTTTGCTATATGGGTTCAGTCACCAGGAGTTTCAGTCTGTAACACCAGTGTTCAGATTGCACAGCTACAGTGGAGTCATCCCTTATATAGGTAAAACTGCCTTTAACTTTTCCATAGATGGTTCCATGCCCAGTACTGAATTTTTCCCATAACTAGGTTCCATCCCATGGTTTGGTACTAGTGAGTGTATCCTGTACCTGTCCAATGGCTACTTCTCCTTAGTGTACAGAGGTGAGGGCTTATGGCAATTTTTCATCTATATTTTGTTACAACAAAATTTTTAGGTATTTAGTTCCAAATTATCCCCCAATTTAATTCTAATTTTGATTTTATATGAATTATATGTTTCTGCAATTGCTTCAAAGCACGGTCTGTCAGCATTTCTAAATCAGAAGAGTTAATACGTGTAGCCTTGTTTCTGAGCCCTCCTAATGTAAGAGTTAATGTCTCTCTCAGTTCAGCCATGACCTTAGTTTGTTCCCTCAGTAAAAATTCTCCATAAGGGGGGCGGGGCTGGGGTTGTGGCTCAGTGGTGGAGCACTTGCCTAGAATGTGTGAGGCATTGGGTTCAATCCTCAGAACTGCATATAAATAAATAACAGTCCATCGACAACTAAAAAAATATTTTAAAAAATTCTCCATAATGGTAAAGCTCATTGTGCACAAGGAAAATCAACTCAAGTTAACAGTAGTTATACTAAAAGATGTGAGTCATTTAACTCTTGTAGGGACCTTAAGCTGTGGATTCTTAATTTATAAACAGGATGGACTCATTTTAATGGGACAATATAATTTGTATTTTTGGAGAAACCACTCCCACTGTTTAGGCTTGGATATTTCTTCCTTATCTTTACATCTATTTTTAGTTTTATTAAACCAGGCCCTGACAGCTATAAAAGATAATGGATGCTGGGCACAGTGGCACACACTTATAATCCCAGCAACTCAGGAGAGTGAGGCAGGAGGATTGCAAGTTTGAGACCAGCCTCACCAACTTCATGCAGCCCTAAGGACTTAGTGAGACCCTGTCTCCAAATAAAACATAAAACAAGGGCTGGGGATGTGGCTCAGTGGTACAAAAGAAAAAAAGGGCATTTGGAATCTTAAGGATGCAATTTAAGCATAATCAGGTTCGGTTTGATTAATTAACAATTTCTTCCAATGGTAGGTAACATTTCAAGTCACTTTATTTAATATTTGGGTAATATTGATTTCTGTCTGTGGGAATATTTGAAATTTTCCATTTTATTTAAATTTAAACCACCCAATCAGTAGGTCTGAAGTATTAGAGACAAGTAGGTAAAAGGATTTCTGAAGCCTCTTCTCCATATTTGAGATAATTGACAGTATAAAATTCCATGAGAGTGAGACAGTTATTTTTAAAAGGAGGAATACAATTATAAGCCGTCATTTTAACTGAAACAAAATAAAATATTAAGTTTAATGGTCAAGATACCTAAAAAGAAAGTAACAGCTGTCCATTTATATTGCCATCAGGCCCACAGACTTCAGCCTTAGCCTACAATTCCAAGCTGTGGTCTGTAGACTGTAACTTCAACAGGACCTACAGCCATCAGTCACTGGTGCTGGTCCGTGTGTGAAGTGTGTGTTCTGTATTGTCGCTCCTTCAGTTTGATGCTGGTGTGAGTTATGAGTAGTAAGGGCCATCCCAGCATGATGACCACCCAGCATGATGACCACCCAGCGCGACGCTATGGAAACTGCCTGGATATCAGCCTGGTAAGACGCCTTCCCAAGGGTGTTGTTCCATAGTCTGGCCACACGATGGCGGAAGGAGCCCAGGGAAGCAAGCCCTTTGTATCTGAATTAGGTGTTGGGCAGGGTAGTAGGAAAAAGTTCAAGGAAGATATATTAAAAAGGTGACTCTAGCATAGATATGAACTCTGAACATTGGTATTACTGGGTGAAGGATATAAGTGTTCTTCTATACCGACATGGAACAAATAGGCTAGATGGGTGCCTGTCATTCAAGGAGACAGTTGCTGTAACTCAACTGACAAAGAACCATTTATTGAAAAAATCACTCTTTCTCCTTCTACTCCATGTGCTTCTGGTCTCACGTAATCATGAAGGACTAGTCCTGTTTTCAGACTATTTTGTTCTCTTGGTTTACTGATCTTTGCATCAGAAGCACATCTTCCTAATCACTATAACTTTCTGATAAATCTCAGTATTCAGAAATTTAACTTCTATAATTTTGTTCTTCAAAATGATCTTGGCATCAAAGGGCGGTCAGTAGAGAATGGGGAGCAGGGGGTGGGGGTTGCGGAGGGCGGGTGGAAGTGCTGGGGAGTGATAGTGTCCAAATTATATTGTTATGTTGTGTGCGCTATGAATATGTAACAACAAATTCCACCATTATGTGTAATGCACCAATAAAAGGTGAAAAGTAAAAAAAAAAAATTAAATGTCTTAGCTGTTCTTTGTCCATTTGTTTCCATAAATCTTTCAATTACCTGGTCAATTTTGAAAGAGCTAAAGAACCAACTTGTGCTATGCTAATGGAGCGGGCCAGGCTCTCACTGCAATATTAGAGGGGATATTTGCACTGTTAGTGGGAATCCTCGTTTTCCTTCAACTTCTTTCTTTTAAAAATTTGTTCTTTTTAGATATACATGACAGTAGAGTGTATTTTGACATATTAAATATTCATGGAGTATAACATTCTAATTAGGGTCCCTTTCTTGGGGTTGTACATATATAATGTGCTTCACTGGTCATGTATTCATACACAAACATAGGAGAGTTATGTCCAGTTCATTCTACTGTCTATCCTATTCCCACCCACTCCCCTCCTTTCATTCCTCTTTGTCCACTCCAATGAACTTCTGTTCTTCCTATCCCCCCTTGTTGTGTGTTAGCATCCACATATCAAAGAGAACATTTGGCATTTGTTTTTTGGGGAATGGCTTACTTCACTTAGCCTGATAGTCTCTCAGGTCCATCCATTTACCAGCAATGCCATAATTTGATTTTTCTTTATGGCTGCACATGTATATACATACCACATACACAGTGGAACATTACTCAGCATTGCACATATGTACCACATTTTCTTCATCCATTCTTCTGTTGATATGCACCTAGGTTGGTTCCATAGCTTAGCTATTGTGAATTGAGCTGCCATGAACATTGATGTGGTCCTGTAGTATGCTGATTTTAAGTTCTTTGGGTATATACTGAGGAGTGGGATAACTAGGTCCAATGGTGGTTCCATTCCAAGTTTTCCAAGGAATCTCCATACTGCTTTCCATATTACCTGCACCAATTTGCAGTCACATCGGCAATGTAGAGTGTATCTTTTCCCCCCACATCCTCGCCAACATCTATTGTTACTTTTATTCTTGATAATTGCCATTCTGACTAGAGATGGAATCTCAGTGTGGTTTTAATTTGCATTGCTCGAATTGCTAGAGATGCTGAATTTTTTATACATTGATTGATCATTCATATTTCTTCTATGAAATGC